TATCTTATGTTTTTAAAGAGAGTGAAAGAGACAAAAATATATTTGTGTACAGGTTTTTCGGCAGTGGAAACACACACAAGTGCCCACTCTATGAAATCTACTATTAATAAACATATCAAGTACTTTTAGTATAATAGTTTTGAAATAAATGCAATATTAAAAATATTTTGATAAAACACATCTTTTTCTTTAAGAGAAAATAATTTTAAAAGACATGAAGTTTGTAGAATTGTCGTGGTTAATATTTTTTATAAATTAATAATTTAAATCTGTTTATTTCATCGTCTGACATGACAATTACTCAGTCTCACTTCAGGCCCTATTATCTCTCACCAGCGACGCGTAACGCACAAATCTCCCGTCCTTCCTATAATGTTGGGATATAAAAATAAATCAATAATCAATTTTACGCCAGCCCGTTCGGTCCGAAGTATATTTGTTGTGATTTCACTACGGCGGCACATCTAGTGGAAAATCGCGACGATCCACGAAAAATTGAATATGATGCCAATATAAATTTGCTTTTACATATTTTTCTATCAATAATATAAAGGAAAATTTGGGAGATGTGTTCAAATTGTTTTCTAGTAGTGAATTGTAATTAAATATGAAAATAATATTTTCAAAAATGTATTTTAATTACACTTAATTTTATGTTCACTAGAAGAAATGTGCAAACTTTTATTTGATCGTTATAGTAATATAATTATATATAGTTGAACCTCGATAATCGAAAATCCAAGGGACTAAGATATTAAATTATTCAAACTTTCGTGAGACATTATACTTAACTGATATATAAACACGGCTAAACACTCACTGTCACTGTTTATATATCAGACTAAGATATTATTCGCCTTCATAGACGTTTCTCTCTAATCCGAGTTTTTGCTTATCCAGGTTCGACTGTTTTGTCACTACGGATACTGTATAATCTAACTTACTATGTAATGTAATCTAATATGTCATCCCTTAAGAAATTAACTTTGCTTTTGTATATTAAAACGAATTGTTCTAGTGTTATTTATAAATGGTATTTTATTCCAATTATTTCAAAATACTTCAACTTAAGGAAAATACTAAAATGTGTTTCCACGTGACTCCGGTATTTTGAATACAAAATAAATTACAATTCGCCATACGTACCTTACCAACGTCAAACGGTAGTCCGTAAAAAGTATGAAAGGTGCCCCTAAATACCGTGTTAGGTGAAGCGGGAAAATTATCTTATATTTGCTCAGACGCCGTGAACGTAGGGCGAGAATACTTTTCAATAAGCTTAGAGAGCGTTTTTTTATTTTATTTTATTTCGCAAGACCCGATCTTGTAGCGAGGTTTTGCGAAACGGAACGCGCAAATAAAGGGTCTCTATTGATTATATTCGATTTGCATGAACTACATTGCATTTCAAATCTAATTAGATGGAATCAATAATTAATTTTATAGACACTTCAAACATAATTATTTTATATTTATTTTAAGTTGATTAAACAATACATGTAAATTAATAGCCATTTGTACAATTAAATTATATAACCCTAATTTTATCAGTTAATTCATAGATTAATATAATTATGATAGGCAACAACAGCTGTAAAACACAGTGCGTAATTAAAATAATAGATGATGTATTCGACCTCTTTGGTATGCTAAGAGTTTCTTTTCTACCAAAGATTTCGTACTGGCACTATGTGTGGTTTCGAACAATATATATTTGCGTTTGTCTTAAATCCGCGGTTAATTTTTGTAACATTTTTAAATACTAAAATATCAAGTTACAAAGTTGAATCTCAACTATCGTATACAACGCTCGCTTACTTCACTCTTAATTTTAATGTGAGCCGAATAAAAAAGCAGTGCATTAACTGGAAGCATTGTTAGGCACAGAAGGGTCGGCAACAAAAGACAACCTGCTGGGTATTGTGCGCGGAGTCGGCACTTTGCGAGTCAATATTTTGGGTGACTTTTACTCTTCTCAGATGTTTTTCGAGCCTTTTGCAACGTAAGCGAACAACTGCTCACCTTTTTCTGTTCTCTTTAGCTGCATATCAAGCTTCTCTTTTGTTTTAAATTCTGAATTACATAGCTAAATTGGAGTGCACGGATTGTTCGTTTGAACGAACCTTTTGACTCTTGTGACTATTGTTTGATTATTTAAGTTAATAAACGGCAAGTGGCCAATATTTATAGTACAGGGTGTTCTATAACGTGCAAAACATTAAAATCTTTTTGAAAATATATATAAATTCACTGCAAATTACGGTGACTGAAGGTCATATAAGGATTTTTATTTTTTTTTATTATATCAATTTTATTTCCACTTTTGTGTAGGAGCGTCAAATCAGTAATTCAAGGGAAAAGAACCGATTAAAATAAAATTTAATTTTTATAAATATTTTTATATTTAAATATTTTTGTCCTGTAGAGGCTTTGTTCTTTATGACGAACCGGAATATATTTATTCTCGAATTTATAAATCGAATGACTAATTATTTTTTATTAAGCATTGGGAACGGAGTGCGAATTATTTTTATTCAACGATAATTCGAAAAATATCTGTCAAAAAGAAAACGCGAACAATTAAAATAAAAGCGTCCACAATGCTGGCCGGAAAGAAAGGCCGCAAATAGCGACACACCCATCGCTTAGACAAAAAAAAAAGAATTTAGCCACTCGAACGTAAGATGTCAGCGCGCGCCTTACTTAATTCGCGCCATTCCCACGATGTGAAATTTAAATTTAATTGTTGATTCGTGCATTGTTGTGTGCAATCAAAGAAACGGGTCAATAGATTTTATACAGGAATACCATTGTTTGATTGAGACTTATAGGCAGTTTGTCAATAAATATGTATTATGTTGACGCGTCACAGGGGGCGTTCTGTTTGGGGCACTGTTATACTCCAAGTCTAAGGTGCTGCGCTCGCCCTTACAATTGTGTATTGGGAATCATTTGAGAGTGAAATGATATGCGGCGATTTATTAGGTGCGTTCTCATGAACGGCCTCTTGAATGGAACATTAATTTAATGAAGAACCTATATTGAAATCAACAGTGAATGTAAACCAAAGGGCGTTTTATTGCATTAAATGCTTTATTATAATGCTATATGTCGTGTATTTAAGTAAATTTTAAATAATAGTTTAATTTTCACTATCTCACGATTTTAACTATTGTTTATGTGTCTTTTTCAACACGTTGGATACCCTATGGGATGAAGAAATGAACAATATTTATGACGTCTTTTAAACGAGTCAACGAACTCTACTAAAGTAGAGAGTAATTCGTAAGTCTGCTGCTTCCTCTGATTAATTATAATAATAGCAGGCAGATATCATTGGGAACACGACTGGCCACCCATAACCCATTGCCACCCGTGAAGAAAAACCAAAAATGTCCCACCAGTCTGCCAACTGTCATACGGCCATGTGACAGCGCGTCGAGCGGACGTGGCGCGTAACTTAGACGTAGGGCAGGAAGGCAGTAAGACGATAGACGGTATGGTAACTCGAGACGTTGCCGCGCGGTGGTCTTCGCTACTCTGTGACGGGCAGCTGACGCGATGCCCGATGGACCGAGAAAGCGAGCCGCGTTCGACGAACGAATGTAGATTTAAAAAAAACTAAAACATTTTTTTTCAGTCTATGATCCGACCATTTGACAGTTGACAGTTTTCGATAGATTTTTTTTTATTATCTGTTAAAATGAGTTTCGATATTTTAATAACTTACATCGACAAAAATTTTATCGACATTTCACAAAGTCAAGTAGACGTATTTCTTTATCCACTAGAATAGTTAAATTTATTGTATTAGAAATTTATAACAAGTCTCAGAATCTTTGCCGTGAGCGTCCGAACGGAAAAGTTATTACTTCTTTGCTTATTAGCCGTGCTGACTTCTGTAACAAAATGGAATGGAAGTTTTTAACAAGCTACTGGACGAATTAACAAAGAGTTGTACCCGATGGCTCGTGACAATTAAACGTTATTTTACTCCGCTCAAAAGAATACAAACAATATTTACATTCAATTATCACATTTCTTTATCCTTTGTCTATTAATTAACTCTTTCATTTGTTTTAATTTTTAAACAGAAAACAATCAACATTTTTTTTCTTTTAACATAAAATAAAAATCAATCATGCAATTTTCTCAACATATTTTTAAGTAATTCGTTCATCACTAATCCAGTTTACAAAAACGTATTTTGAGAATAAATATGTACCTTTCTTAAACAGTATATTGCACGGGAAAACCTCTTAATCATTCTTATATCGTAATCCAACTAGTTAAGACTCTTGGCGAATTTCAGGTAGCTTTATTAAGCTCTATTTAAATGGTCCATTAAATCTAATGCGGCGTGAACACGCGGTAAACCATAAAAAAATCATTTAAATCCATTCGAATGAGAAACACACTCATTGTTAACGAATATTGTCTATGTTCAAGCCTTTGAAGGAATTAATTCGTGTAAACATATACAAACAAGATTTTAGTACAAGGGTTATTTACTAATTGGTGCATTAAGCCAGTACAATCGCGGAAACCAGTCAATGGATGTGTATGATTCGAATTAAAGGGACCTATTTTACAGGTCCGCTTCGAGCAAAGAGGTTTTTATTTTTTTTAACGGGCAAAGGTTTCACACATGACCACGTTTATACGCGTGTTCGTTGTTGATACAATAATTTTATGTGATAAAAATAGTTCTCATAAATATTACATTTATTTATATTTCCTTTCAATTTATTTGTTTTAATTTATCTTTTTTTATTTTATTAAATTTGATAAGTAAATTAAATTTTTAACTGTTTTGTACATCATTCTTACACAAACAAATAAAGTTTGATAGAATCAGACAACACACTATCCTAGTACTTACATGGTGCTTTATTGAAATAAAAGTTAACCCTTTCACTATCACCAAGGTTACGTACAATTGTGAACATTGTATCATATTCCGTTGCAATATTTTACTAAACAAATAAAATTATTATCAGGTTTCATCAATAAATCGCGTACTCCGCAACCTCGCAGCTCAGAAAGAGAAGTCTAGCAATCAGCAAACTGGTTCTGATTGTTCTACGCCAGTATACGAGCGTCTGCGGTTGCTGGGAGCCCCGGCCTCAGCCCCAGCATGGCCGAGGGCGCCGTGGCCGACGCAGATAGACACTCGGACTCCACCATACCAGCTGCACAGCCTCAGCCCCGGACCACAGGCTATAAACTGTGGTACTGACATGCCAGTTATGAAGAAAGGTAGGTGTTTCATTTTGTTGATCTATATTTTTAATCATCATCAACCTGCCCTTATCCCTACGGAGGTTCGGCACAGTACTACTCCTCTATACATCTCTACCAGCCGTCATATCTGAATCCAACTCCTTCTTACGTATATCCTATTTCACACAATCCATCCATATTTGCTTTGGCCTTCCTCTACCTTTCCAGCTATAATAGTTGATGGATATTTTCAAAAGCAAACGTTATTTTAAAGAATAATATGGCTACACATTCATTTGTTATTCATAGACTTTCACAAAAAAAGTCTTTAGAAACAAGGAAGGTAAAGTAGTCGAAGATAGACCAGCTTATATCATCTACCATTTACTTATAAGAACGTAAGATCTAAACAATACAAATTTTTATTTTGTCATACAATAAGTAATAAACACAAAATTCTATTTAAAAATTGGAATAATCTCCGTTTTCAGTGCGAAGTATTAAGAAAACAATGAATTTTAAAACCTAAATCAACTGCCTAAAGCACAACCACATCTCAAATGACATCAGACGAGAATAAAAAAGCAAAGCCGCCAAAAAGAACCAAACAGCCGGTCGCACTGTCTACGTCGAAACATAACTTTTTTTAGCAGCATTTTGATAGTCGATTTGCGGCATCCTCCCCCACGGTCTAGGGTGGGGGGATGGAATCCCGCCTCAGTACCGTCAAAAACATTACTCTGCCCATCCGCGTGGAAGATTTAATTTTCATTTTTATCTCAAACATCCCTCTTTGTAGTGGTCTGTAGTCTGTATCCAATTAGGTAGCTTTGAGAATTTTTCTCAGAGTACTGTATAAGTTATATAGAGTTATGGAATTTTTAATTTCGATCACAAAGACCTATAATTATAAGAATTTAATAGCGAGATCTAAATGTTATAGGAAAAAACCTTTGAATAAAAGCAAGGAACTTTGTTTTTTCAATCAAGCTATTTGTAACGCGTTAGTTAAATCCAATCTACACTTAGCTTTTTCTTATAATTTTAATTAGCTTTCATCTGGACAATATTTTTTACTCTCATGTCAGCTCTCAAGTGACAGGTACGACGCGGGCTGAGCCGCGGAGCGTGAAAGTGCCGACAAATCTGTAAGGCGATCGTTGCCACACGCCCCAATGATTATTTCATTCGATACATATACGATTGCACCAGCACCAATTTAAAAAAAAATTCAATGACATTCGAAACTTAAATCTACCAAAATCGATTATACCTGTACACAAATATTTGCGAATTGTGACAAAACAAATTGAATACAAATCGTCTTTGTGGTTTCGCGTTACTTATAGTACAAGAAACTCATACTAAGGTCTCTTTAAATAAATAGTGAACGTATCTCAGTGGGGCAGTGTTTAAATATTTAATTACTCTTTGCATTTCCGTTAGTATATTTTAGATAATTGAGTGGCGCCGAAACAAACCGAGGTACATCGCGCTAGTAATTGTTAGTATAACAAAGCGTGCCCGCAGGCGACCGTGTGCCGCCGAAGAGCGCGCTTTGTGGCCGCTTTGTGCGCCTGATAGTGATACATAACGCTTATGTACTTTATACCTTTTACTATATAAATCGTGATATAAGGTATACAAAGGTATTTCGAATGTTTAAAAATAACACACGATCACAAACAATTGAAAGTTAACTTACTTTCACAAGTTAAGTCACTTAACTACAATATTTAAATTTTGGACTAATTCTACACTAAACGTCTTCTCTTACACTTCTGTTGCGTTTATTAATAAATAGTTTGATGGTCCAGCCGAGATATGATTTACAATATAAATTAAATGAAATGATTATGACTAAGTAAAGTGTTAAAATTTTGCTTCTTCTATAAAATCTTCAAGGTCAATAGATAGAGTTCTGAAACTTAAAAGACTTAGCAATCGACAAGACAAACAGACAAGGTCAGAGCACGCAAGATAAATCCATTAAGGGGCGAAAACTAAATAAAACGCGCCGAATAAAGGGCGGCGGGAAGTCGCGCCTTGAAACTTTAGAAAAGAGATAGGTTGATGTAACAAGTTGTGCTTTGGAAAGAGATAGTAAAGTATATCACAGAGTGACCATATTTTGTTTTTTCATTTGTCATAGAAGCAGAATCATAAAGCTGTAATAATATATTTTTTGTACCAAACAGGTAAAAATATGTTTACTATAAGTTACTAAGTACTTTTTTTTTTAAATCCATAATAAGATGGTGGCATTCATTATAAAACATAAAACAAAAACACTTCGGATAAAAAGTATATTATAAAAATAAACTAAAATCTGTTATAGATTAAGTAATAAAACAAGCGAATGAACTGACTAAACAAAAACCTCTGTCCAAATAAAAAGAGAAAATATCGTAAAGTCATGGTCACCCTAGCGTCTGGTAACATACGATAAGGCAAAGAAAAATGTCGCAGGATATTTTATTCGCAGGGTCCGGGATAGATGGTTATTATGGGGTCCTGTAGTGTTAAATTAGTGAGATGTATGGCCTCCGTTGAATATTTATTTACTGGTCACAAGAGTTATCGTCGAGACGTATTTTGTGAGGTCGTGCAGATTTACGGACTCATATTATCAATGCCACATTTAATGGCTACTACGAGGGATAAGAGGTGAATTTTATTTAGCCTTAATAGTTTTAATATTAAAACGATCCGACGGTCAAATGGAAATCCATTATATGTGTCCTGCCTCTTTAAGCCACGGACGTGACAACGGAACAGAAGTTACAGCATGGCGTTTGTTCATTTACAATACATTTTAAACAAACTCGATTAGGAAATGGTACATTAAATTTAAAATTAAATCTAATAGGTTTTGAATAGAACGTTCAACCCTAATAAAAACTTAGGTGATTTAACCCAATATAATAGTTAAAAATAATTGTTTTGTTATTTATTAAATCTGTCAACAATGTCTGCAAACAGTTTGGTTAATGTTATCATGCAATATTATAAGATATTGATGCCAATATGTATCACGTCCGGTCCAGCATGCCTCACGCGGGTGGTCCGAACATAAATGTAGCGTAACGCGATATAATGACGGCTGACAACATCTCTGATATCAAATTAATAAAGTTCATTCCGGTTACAAAAGAATCTTTTGATTTTTGCAATTTAAATCTTTTAACGAATTAAACTGCAATTGATTTGGGTATCGTTAAATTTAAAAAATACGCTATCTCTACGTGTGCTATTTCCTTTATGGTCAGTATTTTAAAATTAAATAAATAGAGATCAAAGTAAAGAGATCTACTAATTATAAACAGTTTGATGAACATCCTATTTATAACTAAATGTATCAAAATGTTTTCATATCATTTTAATATTTAAATACCAACTTAAAATCATAGTAACATTACGGTAGAGTAGTTTTGTCATTTCAACAAAGAAAACATAGAAATTTAACATAAATAAATACAATTTTAACCGAACAACCCCAAGACAGTCTACCGAAATAGAAGGGCTTTCAGCTTTAGGTTCAGATTATACCTAAACCGTATGAGCGGCAGATCAAAGGGCCGGCGCCGCGCCCGCCGCTTTGAGCCTGCCGACATGCCGCGCCACGCCGTGTGCGGAAAACGTTATACATTATGTGAACTTGCACAGGTTGTGTCTACTCCACCAATTAAGTATATATTTTACTAATATTAAAATGCAAATGTTTAGATGGATCTCGCTAAAATTTGGCACAGATGTAGAGCATAGTCTGGAAGAACTCATGGCCACTTATTAAGTTTTTTAATTCAAACAACAAACAGTAATGTAATAGTCAATTTTTAGACTTGAAAACTATATTTGTGACTGTGTTCAAGCAAAACTTGTTACTTAAGGAGTGGTGAATTATGAATTAAAAATTCCATAACAATATTTTTTTATTTTTACACTATATTCTTATCTATAGATACAGTCAAACGATCTTTTAATATTATCTTTCATTGTTAAAATCAATAAGGGACACAATATATAAGACACCTACAAGCAAATAACGAAGTTTAAACGTTTAAATCTTAAATCTAATCTAAATATATTAAGGTAAATACGTTAATAGGTACAACAACACGGCATGAATAAGATCTAATATCGTAAATGAAATAAACAGCGTAGAGACGACTGGGACAGGGATGTATCGAGATAAAAGGCCCGGGACCCTCCGCGGGATGGAAGCGTACACGCGAGCAAAATAGCAATTAAATGCGCCTTCATTACGTATCACCCTTTCAGAGGTATCCTACGTTCTGATAGGGGTGAGTTTAAAACCTCTGCTATGGTTATTATTTAAAACATTAGTAAATAATTGTTGAAGAACTAAATGAATTTAATTATAAAAAAAATCCTATGCGCGGTTCCAGACTATGATCTACTCCAAATTACAGATATGTCCAGTCGTTTTGGATTTACGTGGTTAACTCACATACATCCATCCATATATTGTTAAGTATAAGTGAGTAATATTGTAGTGTCTGTATGTATTCTTGTCGTAAGTCTATAGGTATTGTATATTTCGTAAATATTATGTATTTTAATAAACTTATAAAGAAAATCCGCGTGAGTCAATTAGGCTATTTTTTTCAGTTCCGAGACGACAAATTCAAGCGCTAGTTATAAACGACTTGAATTTGCAGTAAATAAAAAAAAATGCCGACATGATAATATTAAACAAGTAGGTATCGCTTTAACATCGTGAGAGGAAAATAAATCATAAATGACAATAAACATATAATAAGTTAAATTATAAACAAAAACAAAACGATGACAAAACAAAACATACAGGGTGTTCGGCAATTGGCATTCATTACGTCACGGATACTCGTAGCTATAAGACCGCAGCGTCCGGACGGGCGGACAAGCGCACAAAGGGTTTACCGAGGCCAATAACGCATGAAACAGGATTATAAAACATGAAAACGCTCGCTAAAGGGCTGTTTCGGTGCGTCCCCTCTCTGTTCATACGTTTTACATGTAATTATAGCTGTTAA